AGCAATTACTATCCCCCCACCCCCCACACACACACGCCCGCAGCACTCCTGTGCGGTTCACTCTAGTGAACACATTCGGACAAAAAGGTGCCTCCTGGTAACCACTAGAAATTTTCGATGTTTTAAACTTCACTTTGTCTCGTCTGTGAAGACAATTAATCATTTTTTATTATAAACAGCTGAACACTGAGTTTTTTGGTTTTGTCCAAATATGTGCTTCTGTAAAATCTCTGCAGGGTCCTAAAAACATCAGAGAAATCTTTGGTAAATATGTTCTTAAATGATGCTTAAGGCCTGGACTATACTTTTAGGAATATTGTAGATTTGTACTATTTTCATAATTTTCTCATTATTAAGCAAATCAAAGGATTTTTTTTTGAAGTCCAGAAATGTAAAAACAGCTGATAGGTTCTATGGATTAATGCTCTCAATGATTTCTTGAAGAGTTAGAACTTGTGCTGTTGTAGAGCATCCTAACAAAAAGTTAATAATAGTTTTTAAATTAACCTTAAAAGATGCTTAATTTGAGATTTCTATGTAATGTAAACAAGAGACAGTAGGTTAGATGACAGTCATGCTTCCAACCAAAGGTTTGTTTTTGAGGTTTATTGTGTGATTTTGTGTGCAGTTCAGATTATTGTGAACGTGTGGTCTCTGCTTGTTAAGAGCACCATGTGCAATAATAAAACTCATTTAAAACATGGAACTAAACACAAAACAGACAAGTAAGGCCTGGGTCAAAGCAGAAACGTTTCTGCTCTTCAAAACAGGTACCAATAAGACAGCTCAGATTTTGTGAGAATTTATCATCTTTGAACTGACAAACCTGTCAAGTTGGTTTGAAAACTGTAAACCCAAAATCAAATGTTGTACAGCTGACTCAAAAAAAAAAGAAGCTCAGAACCTGTTCCCTCACAGACTCACCTGTTTCATAGCATACAGCAGCTTCCCGTAGCAGAAGACAATCACCAGAAAAGGCCCAAGGAGGCAGAAGATAAACAGACAGATGATGTAAGATATGTTGTTTGCTGTCTTGGCTGTCCAGTCGACGGAGCAGGTGGTTCCAGGACCTTCTAGACCATAGTGGCTCCAGCCAAAGAGTGGGGGCAGGGTCCATAAGAGGGAGTAAACCCAGGAGAGGAGGATGCCCAGGGAGATCTTGGTGTAGTTGGAGGCATCCGCCTCGATGGGGGTTATCATGGTGCTGTAGCGCTCGTAGGACAGGACAGCCAGGGAGATTAAGGAAACAATGCCTATAGAACAAGAACAACAAACGCATCAAATTACAGACACACTGTTGATTAACCTCTAACATACAGATGACAAGAAGAATTAAATACTAGACACAGGCAGGCCAGAATAAAGCAGTTTTGCAAGCGTGTTCATGTTTAATTGGATCATAAACCAGAGACTGAAGCCCTCTGCCTGTGTTCAAGTGCTTCCACTTTGATGTGAAGCTTTTACAGTTCTTTTTCTGAACTCAGAAAGGGCAGCCAAAATGAGCTTCATGGTTTATTACTTCACACAGAGAGTGAGAACTGGCTGAAGAAAACAATTGCCTGACGGAGTTGTTTAGCACAGCAGAACTATTGGAACCTAATATTTTAGTTCCCATTGTGCAGGCTCTGGAGCACCACATTTTTATTTTTTTTAATTAGGAACAATGTTGCCACAAGAAGTCTTTAACAGAGGCAGCACAGAGCAAAGAACAGAAACTTCGAGGAATTTTTTTTATCCTTTCTGACCAGACTCAATGTGTCTGAGTTACAGAGCTGTAAAGGCTGAGGAGCAGGAGCCCGGTGCTCGATGCTGATCCTGACTTCTTGGCCGTTTCCTCCTGTTTGCTATTTGTTTAGAAGCCATAATGATCCATAGGGCTGTCAGTAAAGCCCATTGATGCCCAGTGGCGTTGAAGGAAACCAGCCTTTTAACGACAGCTCAGCACGATGAATCGATTGAGAAAAATGTGTGAACAGAAAGGTAAGCATGTGGTGAGGCATTAAATAATAAATTTTCACTTCTGCAAAAACCACAATGTTTTAGTACCTGCTTGCTTAGGTGGTAGAAATACAGCAGAGTGAACAAAAACCTGCGTCAATGACAGTAGCTGCATTGGTCTATTTGTCTTTGGATATTGGGTTCACATTACTTTTCTTTGCTGACTGATTAGTTCAAATCTTCCATTTGTTTTATATCTGTAACTTTACAAAGTAAACACACCTCTACAAAAACCCTTTTGTGCCTCTTTTGGAGCTGGTTGAACTCACAGCCAGCAGCCTCAGACGTTGGAACAACAAATATCCATCTCACAGCTCATTGCTGTTTTATCTCATCCTCAGCCGATCAGTGTTGGCATTCAGTTTGTTGTTGGAAAAAAGCAATAAGAGAATTGTCTTCCAGTACAATGCAGACAATCTCTGGTATATTGTCACAGTTTCAGAATTATTTGAACCCAGCAGCACACTGAACACAGGGAGCTTGAGAATAAACTAAAACTTTACTTTTACAAAAAGAAAACAAAATTTTAAAAAACTGATTTTGCAGCAAAACTTGTGGGTCCTGAGGGAAACACGGAGGAGACAGAGAAACTGAGTCAGACGTGTGTAATCCTTAATGCTCCACTGATGACAGACACTGAGATGTTTTATGAACTGAGGCTAATGAGGAGATGACAGATAAGCTAAATGAGGCAGGGTGCAGGTGTGAAAGGGCGTGGCATGTCTGAGGAACAGAAAATGAGAAAAAAGCTAAAAATTGATGGAGAGTGGATGTGGCTCAGATAACAAAAAGACTGATCAGATTAATGAAACCTGCAACAGAAAACTTAATAATCAAAAGTTTCTCAATTAATCACAAAAATAAATAAACAAAATAAAATAACCAAAGGACACAAACAAAAAGTAGATTGGAGATTTTTGGAGAGTGCTTTTTGTTAGTCATGATTTCAAATTTTTCTGTTGCAGAAGTGAGCGTACCCTGATCTTGGGGGCTACATTGTCTGGGGAGTCAGCACTTGGTCATGTCTCCCATGGTACACAGGCCTCAATAGAAGGGTCAGATTAAGAGCAGTTTAAAACCTTGATAGATAAGCATTATATGAATCAAGAAACCTCCCCTGGAACCAGGCCTGGGCAAGGTTGGTGATTGAGATTTGGCTCCTGGGACTCCGCCAAGACAAACCTAAGGAAGAGAACGGATGCCACTTCCACATGGGCCCACCAACTGTGAGGAGAACTATCAAGACTGGATGCAATGTAATGATGTGGCTTTGGGGACGTGGAATGTCACCTCACCAATGGGTAAGGAGCCAGAACTTGAGTATGTAGGGGTCACCCTGGTGAAAAAAAACTTTTCTRTTGTTTATTTTCTTTGTCTTTGATTTTATATTTTTACACTTACAAGAAGAAAATCATTTTAAAGTGTTTTTGTTTTCTTTAAGTGAATAGGACAAAGTCCTATATATATGTTATCTCATTTAATCTTCTATTTGAGTTATAATCAATATAATCAAAGTTTTGTTGATTTAATCTTTGCATATCTCTCTTTATTTTAGAGTGTAATAGTGAAAAGAAAATGAGTGAAATGTGTTTTATTTTACTTTTCCTTAGTACTATTATTAATAATGGTTTTATCATTTTCAATTGATTTAATGGTTAATTAGTTTCATTGTTAATCCATTGATGCAAAGGTTTGACTTATAAGCTGAGGTGAAGTGATTTTTAAGAAAGACAGTAAGTCTGCCTTTTGCCAGACTTTCAAGGTTTTTTTACTGATAAGTGCGCAGCTGGCCGCCCGTGAGAAAACAGCTTTGTTTTCTTTCCCACCTCCCACTTTTCTCACTGACTTCCCTCTCAAACTAACTTTTTCTGTTCAGAACCAGTTAACATTCAGTGTCGTTGTTCGTCTGTTGGCCTGAGAGGATGGTTCTGAGGAGTGAAGTCCATCTTTGGACACCTGCGTGGATGACTAACATGCCGAAAAGCACCTGACTGGTTCCAGCCTGGAGCCCGCTGAGGCTAGTGGTGGAGGGAAGAGGCATCTCCCTCCTGTGCGGTCAACGGTGACATTATCCCCCTGTGCGGACCTGAATGCCGACTCTCTCAAGAACAAACCCTACCTGCAGTCTCTGTTTGAAGACTTCAAAAGGTAGAAAAGTGTTTAATGAGATCTACGTCGAAGAGGTCTAGCCACGGAAATGTCTAAGAGATTGACACGCTGATGTGCTGGTCTGGTTTGACTTGTTGAGAACAAGTCTAAAATTACTAATTTCTTTTCCTCCTATTTCTTAAAACTTAAATCTTTACTTTTTCTCTCTCTTATTTACTTAAGAAACTTAGTCAAGTAGATGCCAGTAAACTGCAACACCTGAAATTTACTGTTTATGTCAACTCTGAGTGGAATTTTATGCCGTTATTATAACTTGTGTTTTTATTCATATAAKATTTTTATTAATATTTGTATGTTTATCCTGTTCATATATCTAAAAATAAATTACTTTATTTTGAGAGATTTGTTCAGGTCACAAGTTCTTTTCTCATTCATGATCAGAGGGGTGTTTCATTAATTCTGATTTCCTTTTGCAAGATCTTGTGGGACATGACTTTTATGAGATTAAGCTGGCATTAATCTCATAAAGCAGGTTCTTACAAGTATAACGTTGAGTGATACCAAGTAAATATACCTGGGCTCACCTCCTCACACAGCTTGGGCTTTGGAACCCAACACCTGGAGAGTGGCTGGACTCTTTACTACTCCAGAGTTGCTCAGGAAAAATGGTATCGGGCAGGTGAGGGGATACTCAAGCCCCTGGCTCCTGTCTCAGTGTTGAAGTTTCCCCCTGTGAATGAGAGGTCTGCCTCTCTGCAACTTTAAGCTTCAGGACGTTCTGACCGTAGCTGGGTTTGCAACTGGGTTTTTGTAGCAGGGTATTTAGTCTGTAAATAATAATCATACCCATCTACAGAAAACCATTGCTTATAAATGCAGTAAAACAAAACCGAAATGATTTTCTAATAAATGAAATTACACTTACTGCACACTTTATGCCTATGAGTGTGATTATACATGTTGATTTTTTTTCTTTATGGATTTAACTCAATGAAAAACAAACAGCAATGCCAATAGTATATTTATTTCTCAAAATAGAAGTCAGACAATATATAACTACATTTTAAAAACCAAACAACCACCTAAAAAAGTACTTTAAAGTCCGAATGTAACCGAAGCAGACCCGGGCGCGGCTCTCCTGTCGCTGCCCAGCCTCTGGCTGCCTCGACACGGAGCAACGCAGCTGGTACCGACAGATGCAGGAGAAGGTGGAGAAAAGGTCCAGGAGCTCAGCTCAACTATTAGCCTCAAATACGGTCATAATCAATTACTAATTACAATAAATGAAGCGCTGGACTTTTAGCCTGGAACGCTAACTAGCAATAGCCGCTAACTGGTTAGCATGGAAAACGAACACGCACAGGACACATCGGAACAAACTTTATAAATAAAAGGTACAGTTTCACAAGCGAGACATGTGTCCCATAAATTATGTTCAATATCTCACTAAATGCACGAAGCACTCACTGTCTGCAGATGAAGTTTGTGACGAGACCAGTCTACAGTAGCAGCAGCTAGCTAGCTAATTAACCGGCGGCTGTAAAGAGCAATCCCCTCCATTTACACACAGCAGCTCTAGTCCCACGGCTTTGAGCCACTCCCGCTGTTGTTGCGGTCCTTCTCTGCTCTGAAAACAGGCCCAATATATTTTTAGCTTCTCCCAGCGCCCCGCTATCATTTGGAACATCCAGGCAGCTTCACTGGCCAATCGTGACTGCTACATGCTTCGGCACCTCCACGCCCCGAACGGTGCCGGCCTCAGTACGACCTCGAGAGGAGGTCCGAAAAAGTGGGCAGAGTGCGGCCAGGAGTCACAGCGGAAAGACCAAAAACGGGTGCGGAGTGGGTGGAGCCAAACCGAACTGTGTAGGTGGAAAAATGCAGCGGGAGGGGTTCCCAGGAGCTCAGCTGAATGAAGGAAGCTCGGCACAAGGCCAGATCGTAATAAATGTCTAGTACGCCGTAATGGTTCAGAGCGGGTCTCAATATCGTAATGATTATGGTGAGATCGTAATGGTTGGCACCTCTGTGTTGTATGTTTCTAGAAATGTGGCTTTCATACAGCCGCTTCATAAATCATTGGAATTAATTCAAACTGTTTGGTTCCAATCAGAGTATATTTTGCGGGCTGGCAGCACGACTTGCA